CCTTGTCAGAAGGGTTTCATGCCAAGTGAGGGGTGTCTTGAACACAATTTTGTTCTACAACAGTGTATCGACGAAGTGAAGGTCTCCAGCCGGCACTTGGCAGTTGCCTGGCTTGATCTGAGAAATGCATTTGGCTCAGTGCCACATTCAGTGATCTTTTCTATTTTAAAACAGCATGGTGTGCCCCCTGCCCTCATTTCTATTATAGAGGACTTATACAAGGACTGCTCCACCACTCTGAGCACAGCAGCGGGGGAAACTCGCTCAGTGCCCATGCTGTCAGGGGTTAAGCAGGGTGATCCACTTAGCCCAATTGTATTTAATCTTGCCATTGAACTCTTAATTCGTGCAGTGCTTGCCTGCAGCGAGGCTCATTTTGTAATTTTTGGCAAACCCGTTGGCTGCTTGGCATACGCCGATGACCTAGTCTTACTGGCTAAAAATCCTACCTGTTTGCAGCAGCTCCTTGAAGTCATCGGCAACGTAGCGAAGTGGATGGGTCTTCACTTCAATGGCTCCAAGTGCGCCACCCTCGTGATGCATAAGAGGAAGGCAGTCCACTTCGCCGCCTCTATCCAGGGCCAGCAGATCCCCTCGCTCAGGGAGGAGGACGCCTACCAACACCTCGGCGTCCCCACTGGCTGCTCCGTCGACCAGACTCCCCAGGACACCCTGGAGAGCATGCTGCAGGACCTGCACAAGATTGAAAGGTCAGTGCTTGCCGATTGGCAAAAAATTGATGCAATACGTACCTTCGTTGTACCTCAGGTCGAGTTCTGCCTCCTCACCGCCCGGGTCAAGAAGGCCCCACTTTCCAAGCTGGACGCCGAGATTAAGAGGGTCGTCAAGGGCGCCTTCCACCTGCCCCGGCGCGCCAGCCCCGAGGTGGTGTTCCTACCATCCTGGCAGGGAGGGGCCAACATCCTGCCCCTTTCCGACCTGGCGGACATTGGGGCCGTCACCAAGGCCTTCAAGGTGCTGACCTGCCCCGACTCCCTGGTGCGCGACGTCGCTGAGTCTAGCGCCATGCGTACAGTGACTCGCTTCCTGGGGCGCGAGGCCTATCCGGTGGACCTGGCGGCCTACCTCTCTGGCTGTACGGACGACGGGCACTCCAAGTCCTCCGCCACCGTGTGGACTGCGGCCCGCAGCGCCTCCCGGCGCCTTGCCGCCAAGATCCCGGGGCTCTGCTGGGAGTGGAGCCCGACGCTGTCCAGGATGTCCATCGTGGTGCCACTGCCTGGTAGGTCCCCGGACCGTAATGTTGTAGACTTTATGTCCAGGTCCGAGCTGCATTCCACCCTGCGGCGTGGCGTCCAGCACCACTACCACCTTCAGCTGGCTGCCAAACCAGACCAGGGCAAAGTCCATGATGTTGCCGCTCGCGAGCCAACCTCCAACCACTTTCTGGCCGCGGGTCGCTTCACTCGCTTCTGCGACTGGCGCTTCGTGCACCGGGCCAGGCTCGGCGTGCTCCCGTTGAAGGCCTGCATCCGGGTCCCCGGCGCAGACAAGGTGTGCCGCAAGTGCCGTGCGCACCCTGAGACCACGGCACATGTCCTGTGTCACTGCGCCGTCCACTCCAGGGCCTGGAACAATCGCCACCGCAGCGTCCTGAAACACACAATAGAAAACATGAGTGCGTCGTGCCGTGACAAGTTAAGTGTTGAAAAGGCAGTTGTAGGTTTTCCTGGTAGACTCTTACCTGACATTGTGATCCGTGATGAGATACAAAAGAAGGCAGTTATAGTTGATGTGTGTTGTCCATTTGAAAACCGCTACATTGCTTTCGAGGAGGCTCGCCAAAGAAAGAAGGACAAGTACGCACCCATTGCTGACTACTTGCGAGGCCTCGGGTTCACAGTGATTTGTGATGCTTTAGTTGTCGGTTCCCTTGGCTGCTGGGACCCAGCCAATGACAAAGTTCTGTCACATCTTGGCATAGACCTACAAAAAAGAACAGTATTTAAACGTAAAGTAGTGTCCGACGTGATCCGCTGGTCTAGAGACATTTACACAGAGCATGTCTCCAATCACCGTCAGTACAAGACTGACGTCATTCTACCAATAATAAATTAAATTCTATTCCCCATTTCAAACTCATTTTATGTAATTAAAACGCCTCAGAAAGTGCCGTGTATTGTTACAATTTTAATCGGCACTTGCAATGGTTCCTTTAACTTCCCACAGTGCAGGTTGTTTTAACCGTGCACAAAGCGCATGCGCTTCTTGGAGGCAACGTGTCAACATGTTTGGACTCACCTTGACAGCCCGTACGGCTCCAATGTTTGCCTCCCCCTTTAAATTCAAATATTTATAATTACTAGCTATATGTACGCCAGACCACGTCTCGCGTAACAGGCTTCGCGATGTCTCACGAAACACTGTTACGCTGCGAAGCGCCTGGCGCACATATAGCTAGGCCTGCGGCGCTGACACCCGAGACGGGGTAATAGGAGTGTATATACAAGTTTTCGAAATGAAGTCTTTTCGTTAACGATTTAATCGAC